TCAAGGCGTTGCTGCGTGAGCCGACGTCGGAGTGGGCCATGCAGCAAAAATACATTTCGAGAGGCACCGCGACAAATGCAAGGCCAAGTTGCGGGAGGCGCAGCCCTTCGAGTGGAGGGCCCATGATGTTGTCAACCGGAAGAATCAGCTTACCATCAAGCGGGATAAGTTCGAGAAGGCAGTGGACGCGGCGAAGGCGGCTGTCGAGGAAGTGAAGCACGTGCTGGCGGAGGCTGAGCGCGCACACACCGATGTGCTCGAGCTGATCGTGGCGAGGGAGGTGGAGCTCAAGAAGGCGCTGGACGCCCAGCCCAAGCTGCCGCCCGAAAGGGCGCTGTCCTCAACCTTCGACGGAGCTTCGGTCGGAGAGTTGGGACAGCTCTTCAGGGCGAGAGGACTTGGGGCGCAGGAGGCCGATACGTTGTCAGCTCGCGGTCGAGCCCGCGCCCCGAGCCCGCCAGACTACGCCCCTGCCACGTCTGGCAATAGGTTGGTGAAATGGGGGGAGGCTGGGCTCGGCGCCGGCGTGGGATGCAGAGCCTTCTCCCGAGGCGGCAACGCAAAGGCCAAACCCAGTGCCCTGTAGAGGATGGCTCGTCTGATCGTCGATCTGTACCACTTCAGTTCCAAGGAGGTGAAGGCTAAGAAGACACATGAGTTGCTTGACGAGGATACAGGCAATTTTTTCATAGCTGGCTTGGGGCCTGGTTAAGGCGCGCTCAGCTCGAGGTGAACGCGGAGGCTTGCACTGCCAACGCGCAGCTGGCATTGGGCGCGTTCGCCAGGGGCAGCATGCGTGGATTCAGTGGACAGAGGAAACTTTCAGATATGGAGCACGCGCTGCGCATCGGTTCACACGCGCTCGCAGTTTGCAGGCGGCCCTCGATTCTACCGAGTTGTCTTCTTCTCCAGATTTGGCGGACGGCGAGCTGGAGAAGCGTCGGAAGGCATGGCAGCTGCATGGTGCGGATGAGCTTCCTGTGCTTGGCTACGCGGCGGAGTGGGGGCAGCTGCCGCCGCTGCGCGGCGCCGACCTGAGAAGAGCGGTGCTCTCTTCTGCAAAGCGCGCGGGGCGTGGTCAGGCGCGCGTGCTGCCCAGACACTTCTGGTTCATATAAGATGCTGGTCTGGAGGTGCTGGCGAAGCTCTTCGGCGAGCGCGAGAGACGGCTGATGTGGCCGCGGCCGAAGTTTTCCACGGAGATGTGCGCGCTGCCCAATGTGAGCGGCGGCGCACGTCCCATTACTCCCCTCGACTCAACGCTGAGGATTTGGGGCCGAGAGAGACGGCCCCACCGCGCGCAGCGGGATAATGCTCACCCTCATCTTGCGCTCTGGGGAGGAAGTTCGGGCACAACGTCCAGTTGTTGTGCGTCCCAGCTGAATCTCGAGGCTGAGTCATCACGGCGTTTGGGGAAAATGGCAGGTGCTACGATTTTATGCCGTGGAGTGCTATCATGTGCGAGGCGCGAGCGCCCGCGTACTCTGCGAAACCCATGTGGGTGATCCTTCAGACGTGCGCGATTCCACGCACAGTGCGTGCATTTTCTATCTTGAACGTGATGTTCATCTCTGATCAGGGTATTCTGGCTGGTTGCAGGCGCGCTGCGACGGTACTTGAGGCGGTCGCGCATGGGGTGAGGCCCCGAGTCATGATGGGCGGCATTACGCTACAGTGGCAATGAAACGACGTTAGAGGCTCCGGAGTATCGCGCACGCGTGCGAGGAGTGCCGCGGAGGACCCCAGCAAAGTAAGCCTGGACATGTTACCACAACGGTCCGAGCGGCCAAGGGATTCCACTCGGGGGCCGAACGCGTGCATCTGAGGGCCAAACAACATGCGGAATCTTGGGCATGAGCTCCATGGCGCCAAGGTTATGGGGCTCCAGGGGAAGAAGAGATGGGCCGTAAGAGCATGTGCATGAGAAAGTTTGGGCGCTGTGGCGCGTGGACTGTTGCCGGCGTCGGAGCACGGCGCTGGAATGTGAGCGGCGCCGCGGGCGCCATGCCCAATCAATTGCGCGCGTTCGCTGGTAGCCTGATTGGCGCTGCCCGCGATGCTTCGCTTACGCTCTATCTTGCTACCCAGAACGATGACCGACTCGACCCCGCATTGGATTGCAGTATTTTATGCGTCAAATGCTATGCCGGCTGCGTTTGGGGCACCTTGGTTCCAGGTGTTTTGATTTATTGCGCGTGGCAGGCGGTGGCTGAGAGATTTTCTTAGTCGAGGCCGACGTGGCAGAATGCCAGAGACCCAGTGGCGGCTGCGCGGTTAACGCTCTGGAGATTGGGCCGGGCAACGCCGAGCCCATGCGCGTTGGGACATGATCGTGGACGTCGCCAGTCGTCGCTGCAGGCTGCGCCCGAAGATGTTTAGAAAAGGCGCTGTTTCGGCCAATGAACAGTTGGCAAATCGACAGGGTGTTGCAGCATCTACATGAGAGGATATATGCTGGGCAGATGTAGCGAAGGGCGATGCGCCGAGCGATTCTCAGGTTGCCGCCTGGGTTCAGAGATTCCACGCGCCGGCTGTGTTCTGGAGGTTTGTTTTGCCCAGACAG